TTTAATTGATATTTAGGTGAAGAAAGTAATGCTACTTTTCTATAAGTCGGCAATTATGGAAGTATGATATAATCATAAAAAGTATATGATATAAAAAGTAAGCAATGATTAATTTGTATATTAAAAATTCAGTTCAATTTTATGACATGGGAGCAACCAAATATTTAATGAATTTTATCATGATGAATTTAATATACTGCAATGTAAAAAAGTATCCTTACATATTTGTTAATCATTATCAAATGTATTTCATAAAAATGGAATTCAGTGTCATTACTAGTATATAAAAACAAATTAGAACACACCAATGTGGTACATAATAATATTTTCTGAGAACAAAGTTTCTTTTATTAGAAGCATAGAAAATTAAAATAGGCTGCATGTGGTGCTTCTCCTTATAAAAAAAGTGTCATAGAAAAAAATGACAACTTTTAAGGGGCAAAGATCAAACACAGACATGCTGGTGTGTTCTTTGTTAAAAGATTTTAGTGATATTTCATAGGTGGCTATTCCTGGTAAGGAATCTAAAGCAGAGACCTTTTTATTTTCCTCTTATGGGAAATGTTAAACATATACAAAAGTAGAGAATAGTACAATAGACACCCACTGAGACATCATTCAGCTTCAACAATTATTAATACTCTGTTATTCTTGTTTAAATAAAGGATGAACTTATATTTCTAAATCAAATTAAAGATGATAGTTTTTTTTTAATCTTTTATCCTGAAATTTGCTCTTTTCTATACTTTTAATATACATATTTGCATGTATATATTTCAGAAATAATCACACCAGTTATACTACTAACAAAACAACCAAAGAATTCAGTTTATTTATTTCTGTTGTTTGGATATATGTCCCACGAGGAGTACACTGAAAATAGTGCCTTTAAATACTTGTTTATGTGGTTATCATTTTATAAAGAAAACCAAAAAAACTTTATCAACCATTTGGTTGATACATACTTAGTAGTTTCATTTGTTTCTATTTATTTGTTTGTGGGCTTTTTTTGGGGGGAGGTTACTTGAATGATATGAAAAATGCGTATAGTTCCAAAGTCAAAACCATGATATAAGGCACATTCAGCAAGGCCATGCTTCCATATTTGTTCCCATAACTCATTTTTTCCCTCCTCAATAAATAAAAAAACCAAACTCACTGTCATCTAGTTGATTACAACTCATAGAGACGCCCACTGGGTTTCCAACGTGGCAAATCTTTATGGAAGTAGATTGCTCCATCTTTCTTCCACTGGAGCACTGGTGGGTTTGAATGGCCAACCTTCTGATTAGCGGCCAAGTGCCTTAGGCACTGTGCTACCAGAGGTCCTTCTCTCCTTAGTAGGTAAGCTTTCTTTTTTTTTTTTCAGTATTCTTAGATATTTTTCCCATCATTTATTTTAGAAAATATATCAAATATGCATGTTTATTTGTATTTTTTTCCATTTAAAGAGAACATATTATATTAATTTTCTGCACCTTGCTTTATTGCCTTAACAGTGCATGGTTTTGATAGTCTAATTTAGGAATAGATTCTTAGAAGTGAGATTGCTAGGGAAAAGATAAATGCATACATACTTTTACTAGATATTGCCAAACTCCCATGAGTAGAGGTGAATCCTCAGGAGATTTTGAAAATAAAAATCCCCTTATCTCAGATCTACTGTATCAGTATTGTACAATTTGGGTTTCCAGATAATTCAGATGATTGTCAGGCTTGGGGATCTAGTTTTAAAGGAAATTTTAAGGCCAACATTGAATGAAATCCAATTTATTGTTCTCTTGTCTGCTAGGTGTTGTCCCAGGCAGTGGTGAGAGAAATCCCTAGGCAGATATGATCTAGTCTATTCTGGAGGATCTCCTAGCTCACATAGTGCAGAAGAAACATTCACAAACAAATCATTGTAATATATTGTTATTGCTGCTGTAATAGAGATGTGCATGTGGTGCTAAGGTACTAAAAGTGAATAACTCTGGTTATGAGATTTGTACCTGGAATAGACTGAGATGGATCATTTTTAATTAAAGCAGAAGTGTGAGCTAAACAAACTCTTTAAAAACTTTTTAAATGAGGTCTTCTTTCTTGAGAAGAAATAGATAGTGAGCCTAACCCTGAATTTATCCTCTGTACTTCTTTGCTTTTTTGCCCCATGGTATAGCTTCAAATTTCCAACAGCTACCATAGAAATTATGGAGATTTTTGAATCTAACATGAAGACAGTATAGACAGTACTAACTCAATGATATTTTTACCATAAAAACACTATAATAATCATGAGCATTCTGTGGTCTGCATTAAAAAAATGCAATTCATGTAGTTGACAGGAGAGAAGATAAAAGTCAATAAAAAGAGAATTATTTATTAAAAAGGTCTAATGTTACAAGAACAGTACACAGAACTATTATCTGACTGTGCCTTCCACATGGTATATACCATTATATATAGTATATATACAAATTGTATACAATATATTTAACAGTTTGACATGGGGCCCACAGTACCTTCATTTTGGTATGCAAAACATTTGATTTCATGAAATTTCTAATTATGAGTAATTTTTTTTTAAAATAGTTCAATTGACATTATACAAAAATACAGTCTCTTTTGTGACTTAAGACTGTGTGGTTACTAACCCATCCTGGAAAAAGCTCAGTCAGCGGTGCAGCTGAAAAATAATGTACCTCGATAAGGAATGTTGTTCTGTTTTCTACAAAGTAACAAATGTGTAATACATAAGTACATAAACATTCAAAAGCCATTTTTAAAATAGGTTTAAGGTGCAAAATACATATTCTGTGCATGTTGAGTAAAACATTCTGTATCTCCGATTCCTGTAAGAATACAGCATGAGACATTCATTCTATTTGTAAATATTCTGTCAGATACGTACCATCTATCAACTAGTAGGAAATATGGGTTAATTTAAATTTGCCGAATATTGACATTATATTTCTCTAGGGTGCATTTTATAAGAGTATTAGTTATAACTTGATTCTTAAAGTCCTTCACTAAGTCTGGAAGAAAGCACTATGGAAATAAAGAAAATAGTTCGATTCATCAAGTATGACTTAAAGATTATTATCCATTTGTTCTTATTTTTGGTGATTTTTTTTTCTTCAATACATATAATTTTCTCCTGAAAGCCACATATACTTGAGGAGAGCTCCTGTTTATTTATTTATTCTCCCAGCCAAAGAGTTACCATCCCTCTACCTGCAAAATCCAGCCTCTACCACTCCAATGGAAATGGTCAAGAAAAGCTAACTGATTGATATTATTTATAGGCTCAGCTATTTGCTAGAATAGTACTTCAACAATCCGACAAATAATCTTTAAAATCACTTCTTGATTGTTTTGAGGTGTTTTGGACCTACTTTCTCCAAAGAGAATTGGTAATAAACATAAATAGGTTATATTGTGCTTCTGAAGCCATCTTTTAGGATGTTCAGAATAGAAACTTTAGCCTCTCCTGTGATTCTGCAACAATTAACTTTTACAGCCAACATGTGATGTCAGTATCACTTCATTTTCCTTGTCGTTAAAGATACAAATAGAACTAACAGCTTTAGATTATATAAAAGAAAAAAAAATGTCCTCATATTTGCATTAACTGGAAAACTGCTATTTCTCCAAGCTCTTTTCTGGCTTTTTTTTTTTTTTTTTTTTTTAATAAATAACTATCCATTTCAGCCATCTTCATAGGTGTAAAGCAAATTCTCCATTCTGGCTAGAGCTCACATAAGATATCATCTTATAGAAACTTTCACCTTACTTTCCAATAACTATTTAGGATCTCTTAGGATCAAGTTGATGCCCCAAAGTAGTGAATGAAGTTCACCACAAGCCACAGACTCAATAGTGCACAGCTGCCTAGACTAGCTGAGCCTCTGTGCTGAAGCCATGTTTCACAGTTTACTTAAAAAAATTATCCAAGAGGTTATGTTTATTTTAATAGTTAGTAAGACTTTCTAAGTGGTGATGCATGGACTTGTTTTAAAAAATAAAAATTTGTTATGCATGAACCATTCTAATCCAAAGATGATATGCATACATATTATTTGCACAACAAATTTTTACTGTCCTTAAAATTATTTGCAATTAGAAGAAAACTTTGGACTAATTCAGCATTTTGGCAGTAGTTTTGGAAGTAGTGGAGAAATAGTATTCATTTCATTTTCAAGTTAGCACCATGGCACCATGTCAGTGTCTGTAGTTTTTAGTGATCATATTTTTTTTTTGTGGCTTTAAACTATCTTTTGTTATTAAAAATAAACATTCACTATACTTGCTGCTAAATAACATAGTACTTGATGAAACACAGTAGCACTTAAATTCATTCAGACTCACTTTCTAGTTACCTTGCACTAATGTAAATGGCTTATTCCCTACCCTAATAACTTGCTCTAGGGATGCATATAGAATAGCATATTGACAAATCTTGCTATTTCACTATGCAGTCATACAGTATTTTCCAGAAAATATTTTATGTACTTATCCTATAATGGACCACATATCTGAAGTATTTTCCATATCTCCCACTGGTTTGCAAAATTGGATAGTCAGCCGAAGGGAAAATGAAAAACGCTAGACTCGGAGTCTTAAGTAAACTTTTCATTCTTAGTTTTGTATTTGTGTTTGAAACAGATCTACTAGAGACCACTTACTTAACAAATAGATGGCACACACTCAGAGTCATCAGATATAAAATCAAATTCCAACATATTAAAAAAGAATACATTTGACAGAAATTACCTTTGCTTACAAAATTCATTAATACAATCTGCATATTTTTATGGGACCAAGGCAGTCCTCTCCATTTACAAAAACCAAAGAGAAACCTGATGGATAAGTTACCATTCCTCTCAAACTCCTGTGAGTTCATGATACAAAGTCCCAAGATTTTAGAGCTCATCACAGGGTCCTGGTGTCTCCACTTACACTACAGTTTATCCACCGCTGGTACCAAGCTAATGAAAAGAAAATAAGTAAGTCTGCAGTTTTCACCAAGAAGTTGAAGGGATCATCAACGCCAAGAGCAACGTTATTGATGATGAGGATGTAGATAAAGTGTGGAGGGTCGACTGGGCACTTGTGATTTTTCCACCTAAGGGATAAAGAGAAGCAAATTGTTTTGGTTTGGCTTGGGCTAGGAAAGAGTGGTTTTTAGATATTTAAGACAAATGAGTGCAGCATTGGTCCCATTTCTGATGTTGTTGTTGTTGTTATGTGCCGTCAAGTCAGCTCTGACTTGTAGTGACCCCTCCTTGGGTTGCCAAGGCAGTATCACTACAGAAGTAGATTGCCCAACCTTCCTTCCGAGGAGTGGCTGGTGAGTTTGAACCGCCAACCTTCTGGTTAGCAGTCAAATGCCTTAGGCACTATGCTACCAGAGCTCCTCCATTTCTGATGAGAGTGTTGCTAATGCTTACAAAAGAAGACATTGCTTGAGGTTCCTGAAGCTGCATAGAAGGCAGACTTACACTGTGTTGAGCAAACTATGCTGAGAATATTGCATTGAGAAAGCCATTGTTCCATGTCACATATAACAAACACATATAATCTAGAGATTAGTGTAATTTTCAGCAATGTTTCACTAATGAAATACCCAAATTCTAAGTATGAAAAAGAAAAAAAGGATTACTATGGCTTATAGATTAGGGAAGGGAGTGAAAATAATTAGAAAAATTTGTGGCAACATGCATTCTTAACTTAAATACTTCAGTTAATTGTTCAATTTAATAATAAAAATGTAAATGGTTACTTGATTGACTTGACTATTCAGTTGAGTAGACTTAAATTCTATATTCCCAAACTTGGCAAAGGGGAGACATCTTTCATTACTTTTACTCATACCCAAGAAAAGCTCTTCTTGTGACCAAAACAATGTGCAGTTAATGTTAATAGACTGATCTGAACTGATTAAACAGAACAAGTTATAGTAGCTTCATACAGCCATGAACTAACAGAAGCTTTCTGAAGCCTCATATCATGATTGATATATAAAGAATGCTGTTATGTTTCATGCACTGTAATAATCACTTTATATACATTATCTTATATGATCCTGAGAATATTCTTACACAGTAAGTTCTGTTGCTTATCCTCCTGTTGCAGATGCTGGAACTGGGATTGAGAAAAATTTAAACTTGCTTAAAGTCATTGAGTTAGGGATTAGAATGACATGCTTTATATATTGTCTTAGAACAGTGATTGGCCTTGGTCAAAATCTTAATACTACTACTACAAGTAATACAATAGCATTCAAATTTTGGAATTATTCTTCTATCAAGTTATGTTCTCTGGCTACATCAAGGTCAAGGGGATATTTTACTGATTTTTCATTACAGAGATAGAGACTAAATTTATTTTCCAGATGCTTACTTAAGGGCTAAAGAATCCTTTGTTTGGTAAATCATAAAAAAAGACAGCAAATCTTCTTTTCTTTGAAAATTATTATAACTAATGCACTAACAAAACCAATTAACCAATTTATTGGAGAATGCTAAATGTATTTCTATTTGCACAAAAGTGGGGCTATGGTGAAGTGCATGCACAGCCACATGTGAGCTATAAGAAAGGCAAGGTGAAAAAGCCTCACTAGAGTGGTATGAGCTTGCTTAATTAAAAAAAAAAAAAACCTGCAAAAACATCTTTTCTATTTATTTGTAAGTAACTGGGCCCTTGTTAAATCAACTTACATGACACTTTTACAAAGACATCTCACTTTCAGAATGCTAAGTAGTGTCTATATCTCTAGTCTCACATAAAATCCACAAAGAAAAACATGCTAGCTTGGTATGGCAAAATAGAAGCAAACAAAACAAACATTGAACTAGGTCCTAGTCCAAGTTGTAAAACTAACTAGCTGTTTTTTCACTTAAGGAAAGTCATTTAATTTCTTAGGCTTTTCATTTTTGAAAAAAAAGATCGGGATGAAACCAACTGTTGCACAGATTAAATGAATCTGAACTCATTAAACTCATTGCCTTTGAGTCAGATGCAACTCATAGCAACCCCTCCTTGGGTTTCCAAGGCAGTATCACTATGGAAGTAGATTGCCCAATCTTCCTTCTGAGGAGTGGCTGGTGGGTTTGATACACCCGTCTTCTGGTTAGCAGTCAAGTGCCTTAGGCACTATGTCACCAGAGCTCCCCCTAAATGGGTCTAAGGTAGAGAATACTGTGGAACTCTAATTTATTGAAGCCCAGAAAATGGGTTGCATTAGCCAAAATGTTCTTAATTGTAACATAAAACTTGTCCTCCCCCCCCCCCTTTTTCATGGAATAGAAATTACAAGTTAATTGCAATATAAATGGGAGAATCCAAGTGTTTATAAGTACTTACAAGCTTGGGACTGACTTTATTCAGATGATACTTGAGAATTTGATTGTGTTGAAAGGAGACCTGAAGGATCTGAAGATAATAAAATACCTAACTCATAGAGTAGCTGGAAAGACAAAATGAGATAGTATATGCAAAGCACCTAGGGTAATGCTAGGAATTGTATCAGTGTTTAGTAAATGCTGGCTGTATTAATTGCTATTATTATTAGAAATTTAAGGCTTATGAAGAAACTAAAGAGGAGAGCCATCATCTCATTTATTTTTCACAAATAATCTTTCAAGATGCTCTTGAAAATTTCACATTCACATCTGATCAGTTCAATTAAGCGCTACCAAAGGTGGTAAAATTACTACCTCTCTTCTTGAAACTATACGTCTATACGTGAATCATAAAGTGTATTAAGTTGTTGGATAGCCACACATATTTAAATACTTAGCTGTTTTTAACTGACTGTTTGAAAAAGTTAAAATTCTCCTGTCTTATGTTTTGTTCTTAAATTTTTATTTTGAAATAGTTTTAGATGTGTCAAAAAAAATTGTAAGAAGAAATCCCCCTAGATTTCCAAAATCACAATAGCTTTATTATTCTTTCTGAAATTTTTTTTTTTTCCTGAAATGTTTGGAAGCAAATTCAGACTTCATGCACCTTTATCCCTAAATATTTCAATGTGTTCCTAAAAATGGGAACATTTTCTTATATAACTCCCAGTAAAATTTTCAAAATCAGGAAATTAATGTTGATATAGTAGTATTATCTAATGTACAGATGTTATTCATATTTCACTAATGGTCCCAATAATGTCCTTTATCTCATCCTCTGTTTTAATTTAAAAATTTACAATTTATCACATCAATAGTTATTCCTCAAAATTTCAAGCTAACCTATTTTTTCTCTACTCTATTTACTTTCCATATCACTTTGTGCTGTCAAAAATATTCATAAACAGTATCTCTGGGTCTTAATCCAAGTTGATAAATATTTTGAGTAAGGTAGGGCTGTATACAGAGCCCTACAGGACGTCATTGGGGAGCTTCCTTTTAGGATAACAATTCTACTTGGAAATGATTGCCCAGTTGATAATGCTTGTAATCACCCATTGATTAAACTCATATTAAAAATCTTTTAATGAAAATTTACCTAATACTTTCTCAACTGTTGTATATATCCATATCATATCATCAGGAAATGATGTAAGTAGCAATGGGAAAGGAGTTAAACTTGGCCTGCAATTACCTTTTATTCCTCCTTTGAGAGCTGATTGATGACAGTTCCTCTTCATCATGAATTTCTTTCTAAGTACTTGCAACCACATGTTTTTTATGTATATATATATATATGCATATACATATATATATATATACATATTTTTATATATGTATACACATATGCATATATATATATACATGAAGATTGGTCATCTAATTCCATAAAGATTTACAGCCTCAGAAACCCAATGGGGGTTGCTATGAGTGGGAAATGACTCGATGGCAGTGAGTTTGTCTTTTTTGGTTTATATATAACAATTAGAGACAAATATCAGGCTTACTTGTATGTAGTTTCCCTTGTTTTATCCTTTTGACAATGTTTTAAAAATTAAGATGCTGTTTATCCTCTGGCTTCAGCAAGGTTGTAGTGGAAAGAGATGCACTGAAGCTTTGAAGACAGGTTTTAGTCTTCCTCCATATATACTCAGTAGTTATGTAAATTTGAGCTTCACTTTTTTCATTAAGAAATTGGGTTTACTGTATCTTTCTCGGTTTGTTCACAGGGTATAGTTAATATCAAAAGAGATAGTGTTATGAAAATTTTGCAAACAAAATAATTTTTAAAAATGTAATCATTAACTAATTACTCAGGTATTTTTAACTATTACTCCAATATAAGGTCAGAAATTTTATAATTTTGTCTGAAAAGTTATTCTATATTTTGTAATATGATTTGAGACCTGGGGTCTACTCATTTAAGTGACCAGTAACTTTCCCATTCATTTCTCTTGAATTTCATTTGCATATCTTAAATTTTGATCCCTTATTAATCATGTTTTATTTGTTCTTTCCAATTTGAGTGTCATTTTTCCTTATGGAGAATATGAACCAAAACAAGAAAAAATTAATTGCCTCCTTGCTATGAATTAAGATGATGCTCTGTTTTAACAGTGAGTTTTAAAATCTGAGTTTATTTGTCATATTTCTTTCAATGTTTTCCTATTTTTCTTCCCTTTGGGTTTAATATAATTTGGGTTTAATTTCTTATTTTTGTTACTTCTCAGGATGCTCCATTTCTCTTCAGTAATTTTTTCCCTTTTATAGTGTTTGATCATGGAACCATTTCTATTTTCTTTAAGCTTTTTGAATCTACTTTCTTAGAAATTTGCATATTCAATTACATCTTTTACTTCCTTTTTTAAATTATTTTGGTGAAATGGTTATTTTCTTCCAAATTTCTAAAATCTCCTATTCCTCAGTATGCAGCCTTGGAGACGACCAGCATGTTGTCCTGTGCCACTGAGTGAATACTGACACAAAGCAACCATAGATGATAGAGTAGAACTGCCCCATAGGGTTTCCTAGGCTGTCATCTTCAGTGGGGAATAGCGCCAAGTCTTATCTTCCATGGAGCTTCTGCTGGGTTTGACCTTCAAGCATACCTGGGTTTGAATCATGGTTCTAACAATTAGTAATAGTATGATCTTAAGCAAGTTACTTAAAATTTCTTTGTGAAACAGGTATAATATCACTCACTTCATAATGTATGTATTGCATGTATTACTGTGTCTGGTACATAGTAAGGGCTCAGTAAGGAGCTCTGGTGGCTTAGTGCCTAAGGCATTTGACTGCTAACCAGAATGCTGGTGGTTCAAACCTACAGCCACTCCTCAGAGGGAAGGTTGGACAATCTACTTCCATAGTTATACTGACTTGGAAACCCAAGGAGGGGTCGCTATAAGTCTGATCCAACTTGAGGGCAGTGTGTTGCATTTTTTTTGTTGTTGTTGTTAAGGGCTCAATAAAAGCAACCAGTTATTAATATTGGCGTAGAGCTTCAGACATTTGACTGCTAACCACAAGGTTGGTGGTTCAAACCCACAAGCTGCTCATGGAAGGAAGATGGGACAATCTACTTCCATAAAGATTTACTGCCTTGGAAACTCAGTCAGGTCGTTATGAGTTGGAATTGACTTGATGGCAGTGAGTTTGGAATAACAATAATAATGATGCTCAATAAAATTAATAATTTATTTGAAAATGAGTAAAAATGGACAAATTTAAATTTTCAATAGCATTCTCTTTAAACTAGCCTGTACACCCTCCATTATCTAACAAAGAAGTAATAAAGATAATAAAGTAGATATGTTAAACTATGTGCAAGACAAGTTTAAGAGCAATACTGAAAAAACCAAATGGTAGGCAAAATGGTACTACTTGAGACCAGGATGGGCAAGGAAATGCCCAAAATAAGGACATTCTAATGAAACATCAATTCATCTCCAGATTTGTAGAAATTTAGCAATTGTGAGCAGACTACCATGGTTCATATTAGTCAGAGGATGATATAGAAATCACAGTGTGAAGAGAAACCTTTAAATATTTCTGATATATAAAATCCATCATCTCAGTTTTCTTAAGCTTTACACAATGATGGCATCATGGATGGTCATCAAGTTGAGCCTGTTATGTCACAACTTACCTGAATATGATGGTACCCTGATTTGGGAACTAGCCGTTCCATCCCCTCCTTCACTATAAGCTTGGACTTGAATAATGTAGACTCCTGGGTCAGGGAGTGGTACTACTGCTTGAAGTTTCTGTGTTTCAATGACTTCACTGTTGCTGTGACCCTCTTGCCTATAAAAAACCTACAAGTAATAACAGAGCTTTAAACATTTGACAATTAATTAAGGATTTCAAATGTTTATTGACTACCCACTACATGTCAAATTCTGAGCCAAGCATGAGGATCTCACAACTTAGAGAGACATGTAAGCAAACTAAAAAGCATGGGATATATACAATGATGGAAGTATATAAAAGACACTATGGAAAGTGGTGGTTACCCAGTGGTCTAATGGATAAGGTACCAGCTTCTGGAGTTGGGGATTGTGGGTTCGAGTCCCATCTGGGTCACTCGAGGACTAATTTAGGAGCTCTGGTAGTGTAGTGCCTAAGACATTTGACTGCTAACCAGAAGGCTGGCGGTTCAAACCCACCAGCCACTCCTTGGAAGGAAGGTTGAGCAATCTGCTTCCATAGTGATACTGCCTTGGAAACCTAAGGATCGGGTTGCTATGAGTCAGGTCTGACTCGATGGCACATAACAACAACAGCAACATGGAAAGGTGAATTTGAGCAAGTTACTAACATTTCTGTCTTAGATTTCTCTTTTATCCAAGTAAGATACTAATAACTATAACTTTGTAAAAAAATGAAATTACAGAATGTTTGTAAAGTACCTAGCACAGGACAGGTTTTGGTGCATGGTAAGTATGATAAGAGACAGTTACTTCTCATTCTGCTTTCAATGTTCATTGTCAGTGGGTCAGTATTTCAATTGTATCATATGAAATGGACTAACTCAGGAAATAAACTATATATATATATATTTCTTTTTATGGAGAATGTATTTTAGGTTGTACTAACCTACATACAAAAAAGTAAAACCTTCAGAAAAGTAATCTTTTCATATATTGAATCCTGCTTGTACCCAATCCTCCCTTGTGCATTCCGGTATGTGTGTGTCTTCCACTTCACTTTGTTCATCTTTCACAAATTTAAATTTACTTCAGGGTCTTTGGAAAGAAATGACTATAAAAATATGGCATACACAATAATTGTATGCAAGGAGATTCTTATTGGGAGGGATATCATAGCCTCAATGTATTTTAAAATAATGAGAATATCCAAAATATTTATTAGGTATCGCATCTGGGTTAAGCACAGTGCTTTACACTGCAGATTAATCAGAGAATGAGACCCTGTGTTCCTGCCCTCATGGTTCTTACAATTAATGATGGAGACAAATAAGCAATACAGTGGAGTATGATATGTACCATGATAGGGTACATATTTGTTGCTATCACATCACACAGAGTAGGGTCCTAAGGGCCAAGATTTGAGGAATTAGTAAAACTTCTTGGAAGAATGCGATGGCAAGTTCCTTTAGCTTAAAAAAATCATGAATGTATCAATATTTTTGCTTCTGGTTTTGACTGTAGCAGTATAACAAATTAGAATTCTGATCATCCACATGATGTAATTACAAAGTAAATTTATGAGAATGGGAAAGTATGTAAATTGGTGAGGATTGGCAGGGGAGTGACTATTTTAGAGGACACTGTTATTATGGTTCAATAAATTACAATTCTTATGACAAAGAAAAATGCAGCCAGCAATGCATATCTAATGTTACTGTAAAACTCTGAGTTGAAGAAAAATTTGCGGATCAGTTGAGATTTAGAACAAAAGGTAAAGGCAGGGAAAAGATCAGTTAATGGTAGCAAAAACAGTTTGAGATTAAATGTGGATTTTACTAATATATCCAGGGAAATGTAGTGCTATGGGTTGGTAAGTAGGTATGTTAATAGATGAAAACACACATTAATACTTAGTCTTAGGTACTATACAGAATCTTGGCTCATTTGAAAATCCTGATTTAGAAAATATGAATGAGAATGAGAAATATGAGACCGTTAGGATGCTATCAAAACATATAAAAACAGTTATTGACAGTAAGGAGGTCAGGAACTCATGTGAGAGAATAGAACTGTCCCATAGGGTTTTCTAAGCTGTAATCTTTATAGGAGCAGATTATGAGGTCTTCATCCCATGGAGATGCTAGGTGAGTTCTAACCACCAGCCCTTTGGTTAGCAGCCAAGTGCTTTACTTTTGTGCCGATTGAGGAAAGGATATATTCTAGATGTAGGGAGGGGAAATGACTGTGTTTTCTTAATATATAGTGTAAGGCTCTTGTTCTGTATTCCTTCTGACTGCTTGTGCCTTTTCTGAATGGATAGAAGTTCATCTTGTGAGGGAGTGGATATTTGCACAGGTGAAAGCTTATTCCCCAAACATTTAGTATGTATTTTCCTTTGAATTCAAGCATAGTCTCTAAAAGGTAGGGGTAAGAAGCTGTTTAGATTCATAACCTTGATAAGCTTCTTTCATATGTAAAGAAAAACAATTTTTCTCCAGTCTCAAGATAATTAATAAAAAAAGAATTATGGCTACATATACTGTACTTGCCATAGTTTCATTATTGGTATTTCTGCAGGAATTCCAGAAATAGGTAGGAATATTATATGCTAAAAAGTTCAGACTAGGGGATTTATAAAAATGAATAGTTCTCTTCACTTAAAAACATTTATTTGAGAAAAATAAATGAAGTAGGAAAACACATATTTGAATTTTTGTTCCATTTTCCTGTTCATTTATAAGTATATTAATAAACGTGCAACTGATTCTGAGTTGGGTATTGTAAGAAAATAAAATAACAGAATATTATGTATTAACTATTGGGAGCGGTGGTGGCGTAGTGCCTAAGGCATTTGATTGCTAACCAGAAGGCTGGAGGTTCAAACCCACCAGCCACTCCTCAGAAGGAAGGTTGGGCAATCTACTTCCATAGTGATACCGCCTTGGAAACCCAAGGAGGGGTCGCTATGGGTCAGGTCCAACTTGACGGCACATAACAACAACAGCAACAGCTCTTTAACCACTGGAGCCAGTGCAGATTCTTGCCAAGTTTGCAATAGTCCTTCTCAAAGTTATACTCTCCTCATAAAAAGGGGTTTTGTGCTCGTGTTCTTAGGGTCGCATTTCTTGAGTTTATATTTAGATTTTCAGCCTTTGTTTCTAATCACATTTCTGTACTATTGTGCATGTAGCAAAAGTGGCTTTCATCTTCAGCTACCTGTCTTATGAAAACCAGAACTTCCTGGGAGAATTCAGGCCCTGTGTTAAGTCCGAGTCCTCAGCTTACAGTTCCTTTTCCTTAATGGGGCCTTTTGTGTCCACTTTTTGCCAGTGAGTCTGTTGGGAGTCATCTCATCCTTCAAAGGATTAATGAGTTTTAATTACAAGACAGAAAGCTTGGAGGTCTTCTGCCTTTAGTATTTAGCAGACTCCTTTCTCAGGAACCTGTCTTCCTTCTAATTGATATAAGGAGATGCAGAAATTGCAAGTCAATAAAAGAAAAAAATCCTCTGATCATTTGTGCCTCTCAAAAAACTTACGGCCATCAAGTTGATTAGACTCATAGTGACCCCTCCTTGGGTTTCTGAGGCAGTATCTCTATGGAAGTACATTGCCCAATCTCCCTTCCAAGGAGTGGCTAATGGGTTTGAACCACCAGCCTTCTGGTTAGCAGTCAAATGCCTTAGGCACTATGCTGCCAGAGCTCCCTAATTTGTGCCTACTTGTATAATTGTCATAAATTTATACAGCTAAGATGAATCATGTTAGTGATTCTTTCCCCAGCAAGAAGGTGTGCATGATGTGGGTGTCTTTGATCCAAACTAATTACAGAATATAAGAAATGCTGCAGTTTGTGTTTTAAAATATTGCTACCAGGAACAACCATAAAACATGTATTCCATTTATAACTTCTTTAGTTTTCAGCTTCAGAATTTTAGTACTTGAGATACAAACTGTTGAGTTACTATCTCTGGTAGTTGAAAACCTACCTATAATGATGTTTTTAAATTTAAATATTATTGAGATATTTACAATCTTACCAATAAATAATATTCAACCAATAATTTCTGTGTGGAGTTTAATGTAGTAAATAGAATCAGACATTATACAGCAAAAATTTGAAATTCAGCCAATTCAATACATAGACATTTATACTTGGAAATAAGAAAAAGTTGTTTGAAAACAAAATAGGTTTTCTCATATCTCTGGCTGGAACATAGCAAGAGTACTATATGTGAGATATTGGGTTTCTGTTTGGAATTTTCTGTTTCTCTCCATGGATTTTTTGTAACCTAATATACTGTGAGCCTAAGGCATTTGACTGCTAATCAGAAGGTTGGCTGTTCAAATCCACCAGACACCTTGTGGAAGGAAGACTGGGCAATCTACATCTGTAAAGGTTTTTGGCCTCAGAAACACAAAGGAGGTTGCTATGAGTTAGAATCGACTTGATGGCAGTGAGTTTGTTTTCTTTGGTTTTGGTAGTATACTGTGCTTGGCTACTAACTGAAAAGTTGGAGGTGTTAATCCACCCATTGGTACCTCTGAAGAAAGGCCTGGTCATCCATGTCTAAAAGATCATAGCTATTGAAAACTTTGTGGAGCTATTAGGAACTATTAGGAAACACATGGAATTGCCTTGAGTGAGAATCTACTCAATAGGAACTTTTTTTTTTCCCCAAATGCTGCCCCTAGTATTTTTTTTTTTTTTCTACGATTTTACTAATCAAAAGTATACTTAAACAACATTGTCTAGTCTTTGCTATCTGCCAGCCAAGTTTCTGTGATAGACGAGAATGCCAGGATTATCTGCCTAAACCCTGCAGGTGCTGACACCATGCTTTATGGAGTCATCTTCATACCATACTGATGCTGTTGCTGCTTTTCCAACCCATCCCCTTACTATGCGTTGTTCAGTTGAAACTAATTTTAACTGCCTTGGCTTTCTCACCTGTAGAAAATCTCTCTTTCTGAAAGATAGTCAGAAAATGATTGAGAAGTATAAAAGAAGGAAAGTCTGTTAATGGATCTTATTATGCCTCATTAATTATACATCCTCCCTGTAACAATTTTCTTGAGTGTCTACGTAGGAGAGTGGAGAAACACTGACCTTGTAACCCATGACTTCAGATTCATTGGCTAATGGTCTGACAGGTTCCCAGCTCAGAGAAACCTGAGAGCCTTGTTGCTCCCATCTGAGGTTGCTTGGTGCTTGACTAGGGGCTGAAACATAAAAAGTGAAAATGAACTGACAACAATTTTAAAATATATTTCTTCATTTTAATCCTTATAAGTATTTCAATCTTTTCTTGTGTTCAATAGTTGGCTGGCACCATAGGCTTCTTTCCAGCTGGTCAGATAAGGAGGATTTTGCTCCAGGAGTGTCATTTTAATAGCTACTCTACTGAGGTTTTAAACTTGAATTCTTTTATCTCCCTTCTGTGTCAAAATCGCTTAGCCGTGTTTCACAGGAAGATAACCTTTATCTACTGTGAATGCAAAATTTTCTGAGCAAGTTTTGGAATTCAGATATAAGCACTGAAGCAAGACTATGAATCAAAACTCCCCTTCAACTCTGCTTATTATGTGCCTCACATGGCTTTCAGAAATGTTAAAAGATGTTTCCCTTTTGTTTGAAACAAACAAAAAACCCAGGTCACTTACGAGATTTCTTGGTGGTTGCACTCACTTCACTGCTAGGTGGCCCATATCCAGCTCCATTATAAGCCCTCACTGTGAAGTGATATAACGTATTTCCTTCTAATCCTGTCAGGATGATGGATGATTCATTCCCCCTGGTTTTGACTGTTTCTGCTGCTTCTTCTTGTTCCATATCTTTCCAGTAACCAACCTGTCAACAAATTATCACATGACAGATTAATTTTGAAGTATCCTCCATGCTTACATGAACTTTTTTTTAGGGGTGGGGGGAAAAAAAGTGCATTTTGATCACCAAGCCTCCCTTGGGAAGAAATCATTCCAGTATCATTCAATTAAAAGACCGAGCTGCTCTTGCCACCAAGTCAATTCCTACTCCTAGTGACTCTGTAAAGCAGAGAGAACTGCCCCATGGGGTTTCCAAGGCTGTAATCTTAATGGAATCAGACTGCCACATCTTTCTTCCATGAGTGGCTGGTAGGTTCAAACCATCAACCCTTCGGTTATTGTTGTTGTTATATGCCGTCTAGTCGGACCCGACTCATAGCAACCCCTCCTTGGGTTTTCGAGGCAGTATCACTACGGAAGTAGATTGCCTCATCTTCCTTCCGAGGAGTGGCTGGTGGGTTTGAACCGCCAGCCTCTGGTCAACAGTCAAGTGCCTTAGGCACTATGCAAATACTTAAACCATTGAATCACCCGATCTCCTAACAGACCCTGCTGCCCACCCCCCACCCCCCAAAAACAAAATTGCAGTCGAGTTGATTCAGACTCTATAAGTGACCTTATAGAACAAAGTACAACTGCCCCACAGGGTTTCCAAGACTGTAAAGATTTACAGACCCAGACTGCCACACAGTGTTGGACTACCCAATAAGCAAGGTAAGTGCCAGTTTACTTTTGCTTACTTATGAATCTGTAGAGAACAATTTCATATGGGTTTCACCACTTATTTGTATTATGTCACTATGGAATATTATTGTTGCTTTTGAGAAATTATTGAATGTGAAAAAAGGTATGTATGGATGTTGAATAACCAACAAGATATGGCTGATTAGTGCTCAATGTCCATTTTAGTCTCATTCTAGTATATATTTCTATAATGAAGAGAATGGGAAGCTAAAAATCATGTTTTAAAGACTCCTATGCAGTTTGGTTTCAGGGTATATTTTAGGTTCAGCTAATCAGATAAATGTGAATAAGACTGGAAATTCGAAGTGAGACGGAGGCTGTTTTGTTACTCTGCTCTTCTACTGGCAAGCATATTACTGCAGTCATTACCACCATTAGTAAATGTCTTATTGTCTAGCCACTAGCTTTATGGAAATTAAAAAACAGGGCATAGAAAATTTCATTTTGCTTTTACAAATCATGGCAGGATAGATGAGATTCTGGAATTGACAACAATGGCAGAGGCTTCCATATAACAGAGCCTTCCTGAAGGTGTCAGCATCCTGATCATGGTGGCTTCTTAACTGTGCCGTGCAGTGTGCTTCTGGAGCTGGTGGCATCCTGCTTTTACAAACTATCAGTCTCCCCTTTTGTGGCTTGGTTCAAGAGTATAACTTTCTAGTTCTATCACTGAAAAGGGAAGATATCATCTTTTAGATGATGCTGGTCTCATTATTTCCAATTATGAGAACTGGCTTTTCTTGCTTGGTCTGTGAATATGTATATGTATATATATATATATATATATACATGCACAAACACACACACATACATACATATATGTTTATACACACATATATGTCTATATATGCTTTTATGTATGTATATGCATATACATGTATATATATAAAGTAGTAACAATATATGTAACACAATACTTATCATTGTAACAATCTTCATATGTACAGTTCAGTGACATCAATTATGTTCATCATGTTGTTCGATAACATCCTTATACATTCTTAACATTTAAATCTAAGTTATTTTCAAGTTATAAAATTGCCTGATGAGTCAGTAGATAACTAAACACATATCTTTCCTTTTCAGTAATAAATTTGATTTCCAATTCTCTAAGTCAAAGTTGTTTAATTGGTTAGACTATCTTAAATATAATTAAATACATGTTTTGAGGGGCTTCAGTGTAATTAAATGTAAGAAATTGCAGATTGTAATACAAATATGGATTTTGATATAAATTCTGTCTCCTAAAATGGAATGTGTAATGTTCTGAGTAATCACCACAAAATTAAAGATCCAAAGAGAAACTGATCAAGGAGCCCTGTTGGCATAGTGATTAAATGATTGGCTACTAACCAGAGGGTTGGTGGTTCGATCTCAGCAACTGGTCTGCTGGAAAAAGATGTGTTAATCTGCTTCTGTAAAGGTTACAACCTTGGAAACCTTATAGGGCAGTTCTATTTTGTCCTATAGGGTTGCTATGAGTTAGAATTGACTCAGTGGCAGTGGTTTTGGGTTAGGTACCTGACTGTTAGTGTGATGGTTAATGTTATATGTCAACTATGCTAGGCTATCATTTTTAGTGATTTGCAGACACTATGTAATCACCTTCTATTTTGTGATGCAGACAATCAGTTGGAAAAGGAGTTTCCTTGGGGATGTGGCCTGCATACATGATATAAATGGATGCTCTGACAAAGTTTACTTTTTCATTTCTGCACCTTATCTAGTTTCTGGACCTCCAGTTCTTGGGATATGAGAAACCTTCATTCAGCCTTCTGCCTGGCCTGCAGATCTTGAATTAATTAGCCCCTGCAACGATGTAACTCAGTAGGAACCTTCAGCCTGGCAAAATCCTTCAGTTTTCCAAAAGCCTTTAGTCAGTTGCCTCACTCACAGTTTTGGGACTTGTCAGCACCCTCACCCCAATTGTGTGAGCCATTTCCTTGAAGTAAATTTCTCTTTTATATATCTATGTATATACTTCACTGTTTTTCTCCTATAGAGAACTGAGACTAAGACAATGAGAGGAGAAAAACAAATTCTAGCTGCACTAGCTGAAGCCCAGAGAAATCTAAATTAACCCACATATTATTTGTCTATATAGTGTGTAGAATGATAAAAAGAAAAAAAGAAAAGAAGAAGAAGAGGAAGAGTTGCAACTTCACAGTGATATGAGACTAGGGATGCTGGATGTAGCTAGACCTTGAAATTGACTATGTTAAACAGTTAGGATTAGTACGAAAATCTGTCCTAAGAGCAATTGGAATGCCTTCAAGAGTTTTAAGCAGAAGTGAGAGAGGGAATGTGCATGTGAGATGATCTGTGTTTGAAAAAATACACACAATAGACCAATGTGATTACTTTAAGAGCATATCCATCAGATCACCCTTCTGCTAAAACCCCAATAGGTTTCACATCATACTTAGAAATACTTTCCAAACTCCTCACCATGGCTCATAAGGCTCTATTGATATGGCCATCATGTGCTTCTCCATCCTCATTTTATCTCACCACACTGTGCTCACACCCGTCCAGCAACACAAGACTCAAACATTCCAATAATATTCCCCATTTAGAGCCTTGAACTTTTGTGCCCCCAGCCTGAAGTTCTTTTCACATTTCTTAAAATTGCTATCTCTTTCTTTGCCTAAGTTTTGGCTTAACTAAAAAGCCTTTTAGGCCACTACTCTAAAGAAACTACCATTCCCCTAATTAATCTTCCAAATTAATCAAAGTTTTATTAATAATACTGTCATTTTTAAATATAATAATTTGTTTATAAATTATTCTTATTTGTTCATTTGTAGTTGGCACATAGAAGGCACTCAATAATTTGTTTTAACGACTATATGGTTTCCACGTGGAAAACAGATTGTAAGAATTAGAGTAGATTCAGGAAGAGATTTAGAAGACCTTGCTAGAATCTAGGTAAGAAATAGGAGCTCTGGTAGTATAGTGGCTAAGGCACTTGACTGCTAACCAGAAGGCTGGTGGTTCAAACCCACCAGCCACTCCTGGGAAGGAAGGTTGGGCAATCTACTTCCGTAGTGATACCGTCTCAGCAACCTCAGGAGGGGTCACTATGAGTCAGTCGATTGGAGGGCACATAGCAACAAGAACAACAGGTAAGAAATAAGGATCACTTCAACTAAGGTCATGATTGTTGCCATGAAGAGGTGAGAATGGAGTCAAGAGAGATTTAGAAGATACAATTAACACTTTGGCAATAGATTAGACATGGATGTCACAAAGAGGGTGTTGTTAAGAGTAATTTTAATGATTTTAATATGTTCTCAAACAATGTAGGAAGTTTCCATTTTAAATGTAGGGCTTTTTTAGTAGTTGATTTTTAGATAGATACAACAAGGTTACTTGGTTCTTTTTTGTTTATTTGTTATTGCTTTGGACCAATTATTCTTACTTTTTTTCAGATACTTTGTTTATGAACCAAATCTCTTCTGTCCTTTGTGTCTGCCAAATTCCTTCTCATCTTAAAATAAATCTCTTAATTCATTTATTTTGAATTTCTGTGAAGTTTGTACTCTGAAGCATGACTTTAGATATTCAGTACTATCAAGTTTGCATTTTATTATGTACAATAAATATTTTAGTTACTTTGGTTTTGGTTTTATTGGGTTCTCTTCATATTTTGGATTGCTTTTTAAATATAGATGAAATATTCTCTTTATCTCAATGAGATCTAGAACCATATGCTTAAAATGTTTCTTTTGCATCATTGAGAAAATATAAGATAAGGAGTTCACACTGAGTGTTATCATTGTTTTCTTCTTTCTTGTGGTAAAGATTTTTCTTTTGTTCAAGCACCGCTGGATCTTAGCTGACTGTCCTTTAGTGGTATCCAAAAAAGAAATTAAGGTTTCATTTGAACGGGGACACATCCATCTTTAGATTATATGTCACAAACTGGTGATCTATCCTGTGCAGGTAGATGACAAATTATTGGCTCTAAGTGCAAATGTATATGTACATTTGTCAAGCAACACAAAGAAATCCACCCACACCTGGACTGAGCGATAAAACTCCATGTGTGTGACTACAGTTTGTTTCACTAAAGAAAAAGATAAAGCAGCAGGTGTCCAGAAGCTATTTCATTCCTTGCTTGAACCTGGTAAATGGGATTCTAAAGCTGGGTCATTGCACAAAGATGAAAAGAAAGCAAAATTTATAAATAATACTAAGAACTTTTATTTATACCACTCATTAGGAGCTCTGGTGGTGTAGTGCCTAAGACATTTGAGTGCTAACCAGAAGTCTGGTGAT